GCAATTGTAGGGAGACCTTTTCGAGGAGGAGTTTTGAGGAGGTAATTGTACGAGGAAGGTTTTTCATTTGTCGGAACCTTCCGCAGTTGTGAAGATAAGATTAAAGGAATGCCTAGTCGAAGAGGACATTGTGAAAAGAAGGTAGTCTCATCCTTCGGAACCTCTCGCGATCACGGAGATGAGTTTGGAAAGAGAACTGAATCTCGGAGAAAAAGCTTTTTGTATTCCTTCGGAACGTGTGATCGGTATTTCCGCCAGAAGGAATTTTCGGCGTACTGGGTTTCGGCTACCTCAACTTTCGGCGTACTGGGTTTCGGGTGGACGAATTTCGGCGTTCTGGGTTTCGGCGTTCCAGGTTTCGGCTTTCTGGGTTTCGGCGTGAAGGTTTCGGCTTACTGGGTCTATACCCGTCGGTGAGTGTGAGAAAATAATTTGCACCACCGATGGATCTCGTGTTGACCGCACATGTATCCGCATGTATGTATCCGGGGCCTGGGGAGCTACGACACTTTTCCGGTTCGGACTGAAAACTCGAACGATGCATCTTGCCCTGGATACAGTCTTCACAACTGACGAAGTCGTCGACTACTTCGTATCCTTCACGTTTTAGCATTTTCTTGAGGGTCTTCACGTTGACGTGTGCGAACGTCCTGTGGGCTTCCTTCAGACTTACTTTGTTCTTCAGTCCTGCCACATTTCCCTCAATTGGTTCCGTTGCGTGGAACACGTACAATCCTCCGTGTCTAACTGCTTTCACTTCACTGTTTCCGAGCTGTATCTTGATGGCTTCGGTGCTTACTTCTACCTTGCAAGCGTCGTCCGCTAATTTTGAGACTGATATGAGGTTACGACGTAGGTTCGGTACGAAGAGCACTCCGAAGAGTTGTAGTTCTGTTGCAACTCCGTTTTCCATCACAGTTACTTTTGCTGTTCCTGAGCCTCTTGCCGTCAGTCCACGCGAACCACCTAACCTGACTTCTCGTTTGTTGTTGTATGGATGGTAGTCCGTCATCCATTTCAGGTCGAATATCATGTGATGCGTGGTTCCACTGTCCACGACGAATTCCGCATCTGCTTCTGAGCTGTTTGTCTCAGCTCTGTCGAATTCGGTGACGAGTGCTTCGGCGACGTTGGCATTTGGTGGAAGAGGTCTCGGAGGGTTCCTCCCTCGTCCTCGGTGGTGAAGGTTTCCTCGATGATTGTTGTTGCGCCTTTGGGATTCTACACTGGGCCTGCATGTGGCCTTTCTGGTTGCAATTGTAAGCAAACCACTTCAGACGACTGAACGAATGATCTTCTGGTGTTCGTTCTTCTCGAGAAGTTCCTCCTTCTCACGTGATGATTCCTGTTTGCGTTGGACATGTTGAGTCTGGGTCTACGACAAAACGGCGCGGCCAAAATGGCGCGGCCAAAACGGCGCGGCCAAAACGGCGCGGCCAAAACGGCGCGACCAAAACGGCGCGGCCAAAACGGCGCGGCCCATAACGGCGCGGCCAAAACGGCGCGGCCCAAAACGGCGCGGAATTCTGGGCACCATCCAGGCTTGCGGAACCTCTGGAAGTGAAGACGATTCCGACTCGTACGAAATCTCGAGTAGTGGATAGGATGCTCGAAGCACTTCAATCAACGACCGATAGAGCTCTCGGTCTGTGATCGAGCGTCGCGGACTCTTTCCATGATAGCCATTCTAGAAGAGGCGTCTCAAGATTGCGTTTGTGGGGTCCGCGAGTTTGGATTGTGCCCGAAATCCGGCGCCGTTCTGGGCCGCGCCGTACGGCGCGGAGTTCTCGGCACTGAATCAATGGAGGATTTCCCTGAAAGAGGCAACACCACAGTGTGCCGTATAATCAATTCGACGTTTCTCGTAGCAGTTCCACTATATCGAGTCGGTTTAGGTTAGGCGCTGCCTTCCGGGCGTGGTTCGGCTCTAAACCTAAGTTTCGGAGCCGTTGGGGCCGGACTTGAGTTAGGCCGCTCCGCAGCCCAACTCAAGTCGTCCCCAACCCCCCCAAACTAAGGTTTAGGCCACCTCACATTGTCATTGATTCGAATATGCTCGCTTGCGCTCGCCTATCTTAGCTTTCCGGATGTGCTCGCTTCGCTTGCCCGGGGAACTAACCTAACCCGACCTAATATCGTGATACTGCTTTGATCGACGCCCAACTGGATAGGCGTCGCACTATTGTCGCGCCCCTTCCAGAAAAATCTTCCATAGGCTCGGTGCCCAGAATTCCGCGCCGTTTTGGGCCGCGCCGTTTTGGCCGCGCCGTTTTGGGCTGCGCCGTTTTGGCCGCGCCGTTTTGGCCGCGCCGTTTTGGTCGCGCCGTTTTGGTCGCGCCGTTTTGGCCGCGCCATTTTGGCCGCGCCGTTTTGGCCGCGCCGTTTTGTCGCACCCCGTGTCTTTTCGGATTTAGGTTTCGGAAGCCACAGTACCTTAATCCATGTCCAGTTTGGCGGTAACTTGTTGATGAGGGTGATACAAATAAATGATCTCCTCCTTGATGTCAGCATTACACTCGTCCAGTGCGTATTTCAGTCTCTTGAAAGTTGAAATGTTGTCGTCGACTGACTTATCTCTCCTGTATTCCCAGCTGAGGAAATTGCTCACAGCCACGAATTGCTGAGCTTCGGTTTTCGCTCCGAACCTCTCTTGGAGTTTCTTCCAGATCGAGGCGGCCTGTGTGTACTGTTACGAACTCCGCGGTCGGAGTCCGTAGTGTAAGTCTCGACACAGAAAAAGGGCACGATATTTCTGATTCAGAAACCGGAGGCGCTCTTCTCCCGTTCTACCCACGCACGGTCCGAGTTCGGTCCGTCCGGCTGTAGATACGACATGTGTGTGTCCTCGAGATCGACAGTGACTGACGTCGCCGCGTCGCTCGGGAGAGGAGGAAGAGAAGCGGGGGAGAGCCGCCTCCATTGTTTATTCAGAGATCTCGAATTGTATGTACCTAATGTATATCCATTCGTAACACTCCCCCGGGTACCGTGAAGCGGTACTGAATAATGGTGGGGAACCCTGGAAATTAAAGTTTATCCCTTCGTACTCTCAAGGCTCAGAATAAAACTCTAGAATTCGATCTACTGCCGCGCCGTCTCCTCTTACATTCCATCGACCTCGATTTGATATTCGACCCCTCGAACGTGATTCGATGTGCTAGCGGACCCGAGAATGGTTAAAGCTTCAAGGCGAATTTCATGCGATTGTATCGACCGGAAGTCCCTTCCGAAAGGGTTAGAGGGAAGAAAAATTCGTTCGAGAACGTTTGAACTTCCTGGAGGTTCACTCTGTGGGTGATTCAGTTTTAATTTGTGTTCGTTATGCCTCTGAGTGAGCATCTCCTTCTGAGCCCCACCGGTCTTCTTTAGTTGCTCATGCGAGCGCGGTGTGAAGTTTTTCGACGCGGAGACGTAGAGACTCAAGTGGCCCAAGCTCGATACGTCTGGAGCCGGCTCGACGAATCCCAACGACGTTGGGCGATCCGGTTGAGCCGTCGGCTCCGAAGCTACCGGCGGACGACCCCTCTCTCGGAAGTCGTCCTGGATGTGATGACCGAGCTGAGCCGGAGCGGCGAAGACTAAATAGTGAGTAGATTCTCGAGTTTTCTGAGTGGAGGACGAGACTATGTTGTATGGTGACTTAGAATCGGTCGACCTCGAGGCGGTAAAGGAGTTGGATAGGACGCCTGAGGATTTGGCCGGATCCCGTTTTTACCACACATGATCTGCGACGCCGATCAGTGCCCTCCCCCCCGATCAATTCCTGAACGATACAAATCGGCCAGTATGCGCGTGAGGGATCAGGGGCGTGTATGATGCAAACATCACCCACGGAGAGCGGCTTGGAACTGTCCGGTTTGTTGTAATGGAGTGAGCGGAGATACTGGAGGTATTCGTTCTGGAATTGTTTCCAGAAACCTCTCAGAACGGATTGCTGGCGTCGCCATCGTTGGGAAAAGACGATCGCTGATGCGTCTTCCGCTTGTTTAATGATCCTTCTGGTGTCCGGAAGGTACTGGCCGGATGCGTAGCCGTACATCAGATCCGCCGGAGACAGTGCTCTAGGTTCGTTTGGGTCGCTGAGATGACCGCGGAGATAGGGCGCGAATTCGCCATACGTTCTATCTCGAATAGCACCGCCTCTAGTTCTCTATATTTGAGCAAGTGAGCACCGAGGATCTTTCTGAGTGGCCGTTTGACGACTGAAACCATTCGCTCGAAAAACCCTCCTTGCCATGGGGATTTTGGAGTGGAGAACTGCCATTCGATTTTTTTGATGGTCAGGAAATCTCTGACTTGATTCGATTGCATGTGCTCGAATAGGGTGTTTAATTCGCCGGCGGCCTTTGTGAACGTTCGGGCGTTGTCGGAGGTGATCCTTTGGACTGCTGGATTCCTGGCGATGAATCGTCGCAGGGCCAAAAGGAATTCGAAGGTTGTCAAGTCGCACGAGAGCTCCAATCTCAGGGCTCTTGTCACCGCACATGAGAACAACGTGACATAGCCTTTCCGCTTTTCTCCCGTGTCCGTTTTGGAAAAAATCGGACCGCAATGATCTATACCGACGATGGTGAAGGGCGAACTAGCCTCTAGCCGAAACTTTGGCAAAGGGGGAATCTCCTCGCTAGCCTGGCTGGCTCTGAATCTCGCGCAGATCTTGCAGCCGGCGATTGCGGACCCCGCTACCTGCCTGATTTTTGTGATCAGAAATCGCTGACGTAATGTATGCAAGATCGAGGCGATGCCGCCTGAATGGAGGCATATGCTCTCATGGATGTGGCGTACTAAAAGTTGGGTGAGCGCCATCTCTCCCGGTAAGATAATTGGATATTTTTCGTCGAACGTCAGTTGGGACGAGTTCACGAGTCTGGATTTACAACGGATGAAACCATCCTCCGAAAGGAACGGCTTCAGTTGGAAGAGTTTACTCGATTTCGAGATGTTCTCACAACGGGAATCGAATTCGGCTCCGAAAGCCGACCTCTGGATGTTTTGGATGAGTCTATCCTCAGCGGAACGGAATTCAGGGGCGTCGATCTGGTGGGTTTTTGGTCTAGAGGTTCCATTTGATGATGTGAAACGGAGCACGTATGCCATGATACGGACCGACTTTCCCCAGGAAGAGAATTGTTTACCGATCACTGGGACACCGCCGAGGTGGTTTGACGCCACCGCGACGATTGTCTCGGATTTCCTTTCCGAAGACACGTTTTCGGTGGATTGATTTAGCGAGTGGGTCTCCGGTTCCTCAAGAGTGAGAAGCCAAGAGGGGCCCTTTTGCCACAGGTTTTTGAGCCTGTCTGTATCGAGTGGAGAAGCTCTTGTGAACAAGTCTGCTGGGTTTTCCTGCGTTCTGATGTAGCTCCACGATTTGGGATCCGAAAGCGTCTGGATTTCCCTTATGCGGTTGGCTACGAACTGCTTCCACCGACTCGGCTCATCCCGTATCCACCCGAGTACTGAGCTGCTATCCGAGTAGAGGAAGACTTCGTCGATATTGGAGCTGAGCGATTTTCTAATTGAAGAGGCTAAGCGAGCTGCCAACAGTGCCGCAATTAGTTCTAGTCTCGGAATGGTCCAGTGACCTTTTAATGGGGCCACTCTTGCTTTCGCCACGGCGAACTGCACGAATGCCGGAGAATCCCGTTTATTTTTCGGAATTTCCCTGATGTAGGCTACACAGCCATAGGCAGCGAGGGACGCGTCCGCGAAAACGTGAAGTTCGCGGCGCGAGTTGTTTCCGACGAGCCCGAAAAGACAACGTTTGATCCGGATCGATGATCCATTTCTTAAGTTGCTGGTTGCCTCGGTGAATTTCTCGCTGATGTCACTGGGAAGCGGAGCGTCCCAGTCGATTTTCCTGGATCATAGGACTTGGACCATCATTTTTAGGGCTATGGAGAATGGAGCTATGAATCCCAGCGGATCAAAAATTTGGCTCAACCCTTTGAGGAGATGGCGTTTGGAAGGTGGGTTTGAGGCGAGGAAGGTACTGATGGGTTCGACGTCTATGAATAGATCGTCTGATTCTTGATTCCAAGAAATGCCCATGAACTTGCCTTGGACGTTCGTCGCCGATACCGAACGATCCGGTCCCACACTCCACGACTCCCTCAACAACCCACAGAAATCTTCCACGTGAGTCTATCGCACATTCGTACCTAGGAACCGAAGTATGTCCGACACCGAAGGAAAACCTCTGGCCCTCGTGACCACGGGCGGAGGACTCATGGCAGGCGGAGACAACTCAAGAGGGGGTTCTGCTGCTGGAGGTGGTGACACCCCTGCTGGCGGAGTCACTCCGAGTGGAGGTGACGCCAAACCTGACATACCATCCGAGTCTGAAGAGCCCAACCTGAGTGACATACGAGGAAAGACTGCGACGATCGTGTTGAATGAAGATGGTTCGAACTACTTTTCCTGGAAAGCCTTAATCCCGAGTACACTGAAGCTGATTCCATTCGCATGGCAAGTTGTCGAAGGAACGCTGGATGGGAAAAAAACTCTGATCCCGAAGCTAAGAAGCAGCAGGAGAAGTACAACAGAGGAAATCTCGCCGCGAAGTATGTACTCTTGAACTCGATTCACAGCAACATCGTGGTTAATCTGTTCTATGAAAATCTGGAGTACATGTTACGAATGGATATACAGCCGGACGGACCGAACTCGGACCGTGCGTGGGTAGAACGGGAGAAGAGCGCCTCCGGTTTCTGAATCAGAAATATCGTGCCGTTTTTCTGTGTCGAGACTTACACTACGGACTCCGACCGCGGAGTTCGTAACATTGGTGTCAGGAGCATTAAGAAGAACCTGCGACCGCGCAGTGCACCCTTCGTCATCCACGTGTTCACCGATCGCGGTAGCACGCAACTTCCGTGATCGCACGAAAAATCACCGATCGCGGTGGAAGATCGATTGCCTCATCATCAGTGAGTCCTCTGGAGCGACCGCGCTCAGTCATCTTCCTCAGTGAATCCGTGTTTTGTGCAAAACCCACTCGAACTCTCGTACCTCGTGTTCACCGATCGCGGTAACACGCATCTTTCGTGATCGCACGAAAAATCACCGATCGCGGTGGAAGATCGGTAGCATCGTCATCAGTGAGTCCTCTGAAGCGACCGCGCTCAGTCAGCTCCCTCCGTGAATCCGAATCCAGAAATCCGTTTCGGCTAACCCTCGTGTTCGGCTCAGCATACAAAAATTAACTTAGACGAGAACGGCATACGTCCCCGATCGTCCAAAGGAATTATGTCAATGAAACCGAAAGCGGCACCGAGCATGAATTTTCCCGACGGCAGCTCTGCGCAAGCAAGCGCGTCGACTTCAGAAGACAGCCGTGTTTCGAAAGCCAGGGATAGCTCATTCCCAAAAGCCCCTTTTCCGATAGCACTCTGGAAAAATAAAGTGAGGTTTCTCCGTGCCCAGCTCACGCGATCAATCAATAGAATCGCAGAGTTCACCTCGAACGAGGAAACCCAAGACCTCGAGGAGGCATGCGCCTTGGAAACAGACCTGAAGGTAGCTCGCGAGAACTATACGGCAGCTTTCGAGACATTATCAGCAGCCCCAGAATTCTGCGAGAACACTCAGAAGCTGGAGGAGGAATTCGATAAGCACATGAAGTATGTATGACGCGGACTCATCGGAAAGTTTAGCGTCCATCCGTGCCAGTATCCGCCTACTCAGAAGAAACCTAGAATCTTCGAGCTGGCAGGAAACGGGAACCCCTCAGCCAACGCAAGTGGAGACCCCAAATCCGACTTCGGAAACCTTCTACTCGGAGTACCAGGAAAACTCCGAACAACCGGAGAACAGTCAACCACCTCCAGATCATCAGAATCCAATGTGGCCGGTAAAAAATCCGGAGAAGAAAGTGCCCAGGTACAACGGCGACCCGATCAAATTCAACGAATTCTGGAAGTTGTTCGTCTATTACGTCGACTCGCGCCAGATGGACATCACGGAGAAAAGCCGTATCCTAAAAAACTCGCTCCATGGAAAGGCCCTGTCAGCAGTCTGCCACTTGGAAATCGGGGAGGAATCATACGATCTGATGAAGGACACCATATCGGAGACTTTCGGGCATAGCAACGCCGCCAAAGAACAGCTTTCGCAGAGACTGCATTCGCTATGCAATATGAAGGACCTCACGAAACCAAGCAAGTTTATCCATTTCGTTTCTCTTTTGGCTCAGAATCTACGTCAGCTAGTAGCCCGCGGGGACACCTTCGAGTCCCTCTCGACATCTTTCGCGCCATTAGTTCTCTGTAGCATTCCGTACGATCTTCGGGTTCAATTCGATTCTCTGTGGGACATGAGAACGTCAGAGGAGACCTCCCGCTTGGAGTCTCTATTACAATTTCTAATCCGCAAGAAACGAATCTATGAGGAATCCGACTGCCAGGGCACGTTCCTGAACCGGGGAAGAGATTCCCAGGATCCGCAACCGAGATCCAGAAACGATAGACCCGACTCGAAGGAGGATTCGAATAGAAATTTCGGTTATAAACATAAGACTCAGTTTTCCTTCGGTGGGACCACCAATCAGGTGGACCACTCTTGCGTCTTCTGCGGTAAGGACCACGAGAGTTCAAAATGCTCGGTAAAAATGTCACCTGAGGATCGGAAGAAGCGATGCACAGACCAGAAAGCCTGTTTGCGATGCTTGCGTAGAAACCACAGAGCGAAAACCTGTCGCGCTAGAGTAGATAATTGTTCGAAATGCGGCGGTCGCCACTCCAGCCTGATCTGCGGAGGCTCCGCCGCGGGACCTTCGGGCACCCAGTCCGGGGGATCTTCGGGAGGCTCAAACTTCCAGGTCACGGCTGCGGGTTGTCTCCCTCAAAACTCATCTTCGGCACAGCTCCTCCGAACCGCCTATGTCTATGCGGTTAACGGTTCCAAGAGAATTATCTGTAGGGTGCTTCTTGATCCCGGAGCCATGCGCTCGTTAATTTCAGATCGAGTGGTAAAGGAACTCGGTATCGAGACCACGGGCTCGGAGATCATAAACATTCACGGAATCGCGGGGACAGTAACGGAGGTAAAAAATATGAGAACTTGCAAGATCAAACTCCAAAGCAGATTCTCAGAGAGCTGCGTTAAAATAGAATGCCTCTCAATCCCTCAAGTCATCAAAGGCGCCATTCCCTACGCTGCTGCGTTCAAAGGTTTTCACCCAGCGGCAGATCAGCGGGAATCCGGCTTCCCTGATGAGATAGATATCCTCATAGCGAATGATTGGTTACATCTAATCTACGTTGGTCAGGAACGCGTAACTATTACGAGAATCGGCTCCATGTTCGCGTGCCCCACAATTTTCGGCTGGGTTTGCTACGGCTCCGATGGCTCAAACAAAATCCACCATTCGGTTTTCACGTCATCGGCGGTTATTCAGAACGTCGTAGCCGCATCAGCTATCGTGGGAAACCCCACAGTAAAGAAGAAAACCACTCCTACGGACCTCGAACACCTCTGGGACACGGAGCTCCTTGGGATCGAGAATCCCCTCCCATCAGACGAGGAAAAAAGTCAGGAAGAATTAATCAAGTTCTTCAAAAGTTCGGTCGAGTGTATGGAAAATGGTCGTTACTCCGTCTCGCTCCCGTTCCGGGATAACATAAAGACTCTCGGAGACAATCAAAAGATCTCATACTCTCGCCTCCTCGCGTTCCTCAAGAACGCGAAAAAAGATCCCTCGCTATTAAAAGCAGTAGATGCGGAAATCCAGAAATACATTGACTTGGGCTTCGCAGAGCTGGCCTCCCCAAGGGCGCCCGGAGAACCCGCCCACTTCCTCCCACTCTTAGCGGTAGCGAAAAAGTCTCTGTCAAATACCCAGGTCCGGAAGGTTAGGATCGTGAAGGACTGCGGTTGCCGCTCGAAGGACGAGGCTTCACTCAATGATGTTCTCGAAACAGGTCCGAACCTTCCACCGGACATCCTCGCGGTTCTCATGAATTTCCGCAAACATTCGATCGTGATAGTCGCAGATGTACAGCAAGCCTTTATGCAAACGCTGACAAACAAGGATCATAGGAAGTTTTTGACATTCTTCTGGCCCACGGGCGTTTCCGAAAATCCGAATGCTCCAATTAAAGAGTATTGGCAGACCGTCCTGGATTTCGGTCTATCATGCTCTCCATTCCTGCTCTGTCAGGTGCTCCGACATCACCTCGATCTCAATATCGAAAAGACGCCCGGGAGCGCAAACATTCTGCGAGACATCCGGGATACGTTCTTCATGGACGATTTCTGCACGGGGGGCTCATCCGTCAGAGACGCGAAGAACGCGGTGAAGCTGGTGGTTTTTACGTTTACGTTTTTACGAAAGGTCACTTCCCTCTCGACAAGTGGGCGACTAACTCCAGAGAACTCGCAGAGTTCATTTCGCAACTAGTCGTAATCACGATTAGGAATATGATTATAATCACAGATCGGATTTTTTAATATGATTAAGATCAAAGTCATAGTCATAGTCATAGTCATAGTCATAGTCATAGTCATAGTCTTTTTTTTTTTTTTTGTAATTTCTTTATTAAAGCAATGAGTGTGCACTCGGACACACTCACTCAGGGTCGAGAAACCGGGAACTGGGAAAGGGCCGAGGCCGCCATCCCCGATTATTGCGTCCGGTTTCCCCTCCTCACTCTATCTATTTGCCCTACCGGCCGTTCGTCTTATCCTATCCGTTCCTTTCTCGCAGAGCTTTCCAAGTGCGCTCAGGATTTTCCCCGGCTTCTTTTGTTGATGGTTTCTTTCTTCCTCATAATATTATCCAGAATTCTCGTGTTTCGCTCCCATTCTGCCTCGTTCGAGAGCATTTGGTCCAGGATCTCTGGCACCGTTCTCGCCGTGATCCCTTGCCTCTGCGAGGCAAATTTAGGGCATTCGAAGATCGTGTGTTGCACGCTGTCGACTTTTCCGCTTGTGCACCAGATGCAATACTCGGATGGTGCGAGTCTCCTCCGAGGTACTCCATGAAGTCGCCATGGCCGGAGAACACTTGCGTTGTGTAGTAGGTGAGCTCTCCGTGCTCTCTTTCGAGCCATCTTCTCAGTCTGGGTATGCAGCTGTAAGTCCATCGGCCTGTCGTGGCGCTGTCCCACCTGCTTTGCCATGCGTGTACCGTGCGCTTCCTGGTTTCCCCTTCGTCTATGGGTTCCGTCTCGATTGTGTTGGGGCCATTCAGGCGGCCTCGTCTCCTCTTTTCATCGTATAGCTCAGTTCTTTCTGTGGCCAGTAGACTCCACGGAATCGTCCGCGCCAAGACGAGAGCAGCTTCTGTAGAGATCGTCTTATACGCCCTGGTGATGCGGATGGCCATCACTCTCTGAGTTTTCTCCAGGAGGTCCCGGTGCTTCTTGACGGCGAGAGCTTTCGGAGCCCAGATTGGAGCTCCATACAGTGCGATCGATTCGGACACCGTAGCTAGCATCCTCCTCTGGGCTTCGCTCGCTCCGTACGTCCTCGGTAGTATCCTGGCCGTGCTGGCGGCCATTTGTGTTGCTCTCTTCAGAGTCTCTTCAATGTGCGTCTTTCCCGTCAGGTTTTGCTCCAAGACGACCCCCAGGTATTTCGCGTGTTTCTTAATTTGGATTTTCTCGCCCTGGAGTCGGATGTCTGGGTCCTCGTCAGTCCTACTCTTGAGGAGCATGACCGCTTCGCACTTCTGGGGGGCCAGCTCGAGGCGACTCTGTCGCATCCATCTTGCTATCCTGTCTAGTGCTCCTTGTGTGATCTCCTCGAGTTCCATCATACTTCTTGCCGTGACCAGGAGAGCGAGGTCGTCGGCATACGCGATACTCCGGGCTCCCTCCGGTAGCGGTGTCCGCAGCACTCCGTCGTATGCTATATTCCATAGAGTAGGTCCCAGCACGGAGCCCTGTGGGACCCCGGCTGTCATGTCGTGCCTTCTGCCATCTTCGTCGACGATGTGCCTGTCCTTGAGGTACGATGAGAGTATCCTTCGGAGGTACTCCGAGATACCCTTCTCTCGTAGGCTTTCCATGATCGTTCCCCATCCTACCGAGTTGAAGGCGTTCTTCACGTCGAGTAGGACGATGAGCGTTTTCGCTCTCCTCCACAGTGGTTTCTGTAGCTCCGTCTCGACGATGCCGTATACGTTTTCTAGCGCTGTAATTGTGGATTTCTTTTGCCGAAAGCCGTATTGGCTTTCCGAAAGACCTCCTTTGTCGCGCAGCTCCGCTTGCAGTCTTTGGTTCAGGATAACTTCGACGGCTTTTGCCGTTGTATCTAGTAGGCATATTGGCCTGAAGGCGTCCTTCTTCCCCGGCTTCGGGATCAGAGTCAGTTTGGCCGTTTTCCATTGTTCGGGGAAGACTCCCTTCGCCAGGATGAGGTCAACCATCTCCGCGAAGATCCTGGGCCACCTGTTCATCAGTATCTTGATCGCTTCCGGTGGAACTCCGTCGGAGCCGGCCGCCTTCCCGGCTGCGAGCTTCTCGGCTGCGGTTTTCACTTCTTGTATCGTCGTCTTCGGGATCTCTGACGGGTTCGTCTGGAAAACAGGTCGCTCGAAGGGTATCCCCTTCGGAAAGAGCTCCGCGATTATTCTGTTCATCCTTTCTGTGGGGATCTTCAGTCTCCTCATTCCGACTTTTTCTCGAACGATTTTGTATGGGAGCCCCCATATGTCATTCCTGACCGATTCGCATAGTTCTTCCCATCTCTGTCGTTTGCTTCTGAGAATTTCGTCTTGATATCTATCTCTCGTGGCCTTATAGGCTGACCTTAGGGCTTCGACTCTGTTCGGATCCTGCAAGGCTCGTCTCCTCGCGCGGACGAAAAGTCGCCTCGCGCGAAGGCAAAGTTTCCTAGCTTCTCCGATGTTCTTCGTCCACCAATATGCCGGTTTTTTCTTCCTGATTTGGTCCGAGAGTTGCGGGGACGAGGCGCGGCATGCCTCGACAAGGAGCTCTGATATGAATTTATCGTCAACAATCGTCATATTGTCCCTTGCTGCCTGGCATGCGGTGTCCACTTTCGAGAGAAATTTCGGTCGATTCATGTCTTTTCCTCGCCATTTTCTTTGGTGGGGCTGCCGCTCGCCTCTTGCTCGTCTTTGCATACGAAAGTGCAGTTCGATGGCTTGATGGTCACTGATCGTCTCCGTACGCTCGTCCACTCCCCAGTACTCCACGAGCTCCGGTCTGTTCGTCATGGTGATGTCAATGAAGGACTCTAGCATTCCCTTTGAGAATGTGGGCGTTTTCCCATCATTTAGTATAGATAGGTCGTTCATTGCGGCTAGTTCTTCGAGTTCGTATCCTCGCCGCGAGGTTTTGCGGCTTCCCCAGGTGCGGGACGCAGCATTGAAGTCGCCCGCGATTATCCACGCATGCTTGTGGCCGTCTCTCAGTATTTCTTGAACCATCTCTAGGTAGCCTGCGAATTCTGAGTCGCTTCTATTCGGCGAGAAATAGCAGCTCACTATCTTCGGCCCGTCTTCGACGTCTACATATGTGAGCCCTTGTCTTGAGGCCGAGTCCTTGATCCGGAGTGCGGGTCCCGCTCCAGTGATCCAGATCGCCGAGTCCCGCTTCATCCGCGAGCCAACCTTCATCTCTCCTGCTGTGCATCTCAGAAATCTTCTTATTAACTTCGCTCAGTATACAGATATCTATTTCATTGTTTTGTACAAGATTCTCCAGCGCGGCGTGTGCGGCTCTGGTCCTGTTGAGATTGAGTTGGATGATCTTAATCATTTTGGCTCTTGTTGTTCAGCTTTCTTTTGCCGTGGGCGAGTTTCCATCCTTCTTCTGTATCTTCGGTCTGCATTGCTTCGGTGTCGCCGATCTGTTCACTCCCGCCGCAGTGGGCCTCTTCGCTCCTCGCCGAGTGCGTCGGTTCGCTTTCTCGGGCAAGCTGTGCTACGTTTCTTTCGATGTGCGTCGGGTCCCTCTCTCGAGTGTGCTCTGTGGCCTTTTCCCCGGTGCGTGGCTCTCCTTGCGGGCCCTTCTTATTTAACTGGTCTTTAAGGATCTTCCTGTAGACGGGGCATTTCGACGAGTACTTGGAGTGTCCTTCCATGTTGCAGTTTCGACAGATTACCTCTATTTCTCGACATTCTTTGTCGAGGTGACCCTCCTTCCCGCACTTGTAGCACACTTTCGCCTTGCTTTCCTTTTCCTTGCATTCGTGCGAGCGGTGGCCGATGTCTTGACATTTGTAGCAGATTGCAACTGTTTGCCATTCCCTGATTCTACATGCTTCCCACCCGATCTTGATTCGTCCGAGCTTCAGAAGTCTGTCTGCATCCGATCTTGCAAGCCTTACTAGGGCCGATCTATCCCCTTTCTCGTTTGTTCTTATTTTTTCCACTTCAATCGGGTTCTCCGCTTTGAGGCTGATGCTCTTCCGGATGGATTCTTCAATCTCGTGTTCACTTGTCACTAGGTCCATATTGTGGATCGCGAGGGTTGTGTCCTGGGCTGGGCCCCTGACGTGAGCTTTCATTTTCAGCCGCTCCTCTATGTACTGAGCTAGCCTCATTTGCCCTCCTGTTTGACGTTCTCTCACTTGAAGCTTCATTCCGTGTTCAGTTTGTCTTACTCCCCGAATGTCCACGCCGAGTTTCTCCACGTTCACCTCCTTCTTGAGT